GCGCGGCGGCGGCGGAAGCGGGTGCCGGTTCGGCGGCTTGCTTTACGTTGCTCATGGTGTCGATTGCGTAGCGGGTAGGGTGGTCGGGGTGCGTGGAGGAGAGCAGTGAAAGCCAGCTCGCGACGAACAGAAAGAGAGAGGAACGGCGATCCGTCACGCGAGCTCACCCGACGCGGTCCGGCGAGTCCGACGCGTGTTCTCCCCGCCCTGGCTCGAGTTCTCAGCACGGCCGCCCCGCCCGCCATCCGCCCTCCCGCACCCGGAACCGACTCTCTGCACTGCATCGACACCCTACCCCTAGCACGACCCCCACACGACATCTGCCATGGACATTGTATGTTGGCGCTACGCTACGCCGCGGCCCGCTGCTGCTGCGCGCGACCAGACGGCCTCCTGACGTCCCCGCTCTCTATGAACAGCAAACGCATACCCTGGTGCTCATGCAGCGCACCAACAAGCTGTCGTCGCGCATGTTCTACGACTACGAGAGCGTGTACGCGGCCATGGAGGGCATCATCGCGCTGTTCGAGGAGAAGCTCAAGAACGAGCGCGCCAAGGTCGAGACCCTCAAGTACACGGAGAACGACGTCGAGGCCTTCATCGACGACCTGGCCGACGTCGTGTGCCTCATGTGCGTTTCGACTCATCATCACCGCCTGATCACCACCCCTCGCGCTCACCTCCCGCCCCCTCCGACCCGCGTCTATAGTCGCGAAGAACTCAGCCCCGGCGTGTACGGCTACGCGCCAAAGAACGCCGCGTGGCTCAAGCAGTTCATCCGCCCCGTGCTCGCCCGCAAGGCCGCCGCCCTCGCCAAGATCCACGGCGGCGCACCATCTTCCAGCAACGCCCGCGCCTCGTTCGGCACCCGCATGGACCACGGCGCGCCCGGCGGTGGTGGCCGCGGCGGCGCAGGAGGCCCGCGCAAGGGCGGCAACGGCAACGGGCACGGTAACGGCAACAAGGCGGCGACGGACGGCGACATTAACAAGCGGCTCGGGAACAAGGGCGGCAACAAGAAGGCCAACGCCGAGCCCGGCATCTTCGTCGTCCCATCAACCATCGGCAAGGGCGTGTCCAAGCGCAAGGGCGGCAACAAGGGCAACGCCGCCGTCGACCTCTCGGGCAAGGGCGGCGTCCAGCTCATGACCCAGGCCTACGCCCAGAAGATGAACCTCGTCGGCAACGGCGCGTCCCTCGCCGGCGGCAACCGCGGTAACGGCAACGGCGGCGGTGGCGGCAAGGGCAAGAAGCGCCACTGATCAACGACTCGCTCGCCCGCTTCTCAACCTGAACCGTTTGGACACTCGTATGACAACCACAAAAAAAAATACATTTACAGATATCTGCACAACAACAACCAAACTAGTTAACTCTTGGCTCGCGTGTCCGTGCCCGGATCAATCACTGCCCGAGGCGGCGACGCTTCATCGACAGCGGACCCGGCTTGTACGCGCCCTTGGCCTTGCGCTTGGACAGCCGCGCCGACGACCGCGTCGTGCGCGTCTCGCCCTCGCCCTCGTCGTCGTCGTCCGACGCCGGCGTGTCGGGGAACTCGGGCGTCGGCGGCTCGTCCGGCCGCTCGGCCGTCGGCGGCGTCGCGATGCGGCGCTGGGTGCGACGCGTGGTCGGACGCACCACGACCATCTCCTCCTCCTCCTCCTGCTGCTCGAGCTCGTCCTCGTCGTCGCTGTCAGCGGCGATCGGCGTGGTCGACGCGGGACGGCTCGAGATGCGCGCCGAGCGGCGGGTGCCCGTCGAGCGGGACGACGACGACGCGGCGGGGGCGTCATCGTCGCTGTCGTCATCGTCGTCGTCCGTCGGCCCACTGCGGCGGCTGCGGCGGCCGCCCGTCGACCGGCGCGTGCCCGTCGTGGTCTCTCCGGCGTCCTTTGCGGCCTTCTGGCGGCGGAACGCCTCGACGCCCTGCACCGAGAGCTCCTGGAACTCCTCCTCGGAGAGCCCGCGGCCCGCGAGGACGGCAGCGCGGATCTCGGCCCACTGCGGGTCGGCAAACGTCTTGGGCAGCGACTCGAGCGGGGGCTGGCCGGGCTCGCGCTCGAGCGTGAACCGGTACACCTTGAACCCGGTCGGCCCGTCCTCGTACGTCCAGTCGGTGCACTTGTACAGGCCGTCGTAGCGGTACAGGCCGTGCGGGGCGTGCTCGTAGCCGGACTTGGGCCCGCGGACCACGCGGATCGACCGGCCCAGGTCGTACGACTTGATGAAGGCCGCGTTGCGCGAGCTGAGCTCCATGTCCATGGTTTGCGGCGCTGTACGAAGGTTCTTTTCGGAGAGGGCGCGGCCGCCGCTGCCCGAGAAGATGATGCGGTCGCCCTCGTCGATGTCGCCGTCGTAGCCCTACAGCAGACCAGTCGTGATTAGCCTGATTTGGCAGCGAGGTAGCCGGAAAGACGTACCCCGTTGCAGGTAATCGACCACACGCCATATTCGTGGTGGCCCGCGATGCCAGGGACGAGACCACTGGAAGAGAGAACGAGTCAGTCGTATCCGGCGACCTCCGTCGCGATGAGTGCGCCGTACCGGTGAACGCCAGCTTCCTACACATCCGCAAAGCGTCATTCGTGAGCAATTTGTAGCGGTGGAGGTCCACGGAGGTGAGTCGCACATGAGCGCACTTGCGGAACCCGAACAGCGAGCCGACGGGCACGTTGGGGATCGGGCCAAACTTGCGCTTGGCCGGGGACGGCTCCTTCTTCATGATCTCGTACGGCAGCGAGAAGAAGAACGTGTCCGACTTGGCGTCGTGGGCGAGCATCTGCTTGCGGCGGATCTCGCTGCGCGACGCCGCGCTACCGTCCTCGTCCTACATCGAGTGTTCACGCTGTGTCAGGGGGGCATTGCAACGGGTCGAAAGAGCAGCTCACGTACGAGCTCCATGAACTCCTCGTCGTCGTTGGAACGAGAGGCGCGGGTACGACCGAGCTTCGCCGCGGTGCGGCCGCGGGCAGCACTGCGCAGCGTGCGAGGAGCGGGCCGCTCGCTCGCGGCGTCGTACTCGTCGTCGTCGTCGTCGTCACCAGCAGCGCGCCGGCGGCGAGTCTGCTTGGCCGCGGGTGCGGAAGACGTCGAACTGGACGAGCGAGCCAGCGTCGAGACAGAGTCAATCGCTATACCAAGAATAGAGTCAGCGACGAGCTACAGACTAAGCGAGTACGACTGACAGTACAGGCAGTGGCGAGAAGATCGCGCATGCGATCCATGTTGCGCTGGCGGCGAGCCGCAAGGTCCTCCTCGCCTTCATCATCCTCGTCCTCGTCCTCGTCCTCGTCCTCTGCGGGCTCCTCCTGGGCGACCTCGTCGTCCGAGCTCTGGTTCTCGGGCTGCGTCACGGCCGCAGCGTCGGCAGCGTCGTCCGATTCATCGTCGCGACGCGCGGGCAGGTTCTTAAAGCGTGGCATTGCAAAGAAGCTGATAATGGTTGGGAGCAGAGGTCCCTGTTGGGAGGCAAGAGAGAGCGTGAGGTCAGCCAGCTGTGACGCAGCGAGGGCGCCGGCCCTCGGCGAAGGAAAGTGATACGACGGACCATGTGACCTGATTCAATGACCAAAACGCGTTCAAGGCCGCTTCCAAACTCGCACCCCCTCCCTTGAACCCTTATCCCATGAACTCTCAATGCAACTCCATGCAAAACGGTCTATACAGCTTGGCTCAATCGGGGCCGGTCGATGGCAGGCAGGAACCCTACCTTTGTCATGCGGGACAGGTTACTCGACTGTGCTGCGGCGATGACCCTTCCCGCACAAGCACCACATCCTGTCGTCAGTCTAACAAATTCGGACTCTGCAGTTGGATTACTGAGATGCGCGAGTCTTGGAGCTTGCCCAAGTCAGCATGGGCCTCGTGTCGTGCTCATAGTGCGCTCAGACGCTCTCTATCTATACCAAAGAGACTCCCTTTCTTCGTGCACCGAGTCCGGTAACCACGGCCTCGCCCTCGCGCGCAAGGCATAACCGCTCAACTGACCGCTTGCTGTGAGGCTAGTCGCCCCGCGGCCCGCTCTCGCTCTTGCTCTGTCGAAAGTTTTCCGGGGTCACTTTTCTCGCGCTCTGGCTTTTACTGTGGTGCTCTGCGCTGAGCTGGTTTACTCGGAAAGATGACGCGAAAATGCCTTAGTTGCTTTGTGCGCGCGCCTGGAAAGTGGCCGATGACACCATATGAGCTCTGGCACATCTTTCGTTGCGGTTACGATAACCCTACGTTGCTACTTTACGTCTGGCCCAGTCTGATCTATAGCGGAAGCTCGACGCGAGGGATGCCTGCGCGGTCCGTACGCGCTAGCGCGAACCCTCTCCCCTCTCGGCCAACGTTCTGCAGCCGCGAGCGAGGCGTATGTCGGAGACTCCAACAACACGACGCGCACTGGTGAGGTCCGATTGAGCGCGTGAGAGGACGTGACGCGACGCGACCACTCTTGTCGTCAAGCACGGGTTGGTCCAGCCTTGTGTCGATACGTAGACCGTCGCTTCTTGCGGTGCGGGGCCAGACGTGAGGAACAGATCATCGCGGCCATTGACAACGACCACGAAACCGAGGAGATTGCCGCGGTGGCCGTCGCGCAGGCGGCTCTCTTATACACCAGCACGATCCGTCGGTTGCGCTGGAACCGCTTGAAGCGTGCAAGTCATCGTCGTGGCTCCGGCGGTTCACGACCGCGGCGGTGGCCGTCATCGTGGCCACAAAGTGACACGGACACGACGCGAGTATGCCTCGACCTCGTCCTCGCGAGGGCTGTGCTATGTATCAGTGGGATTAAACGGCTGGACCCCCCCTCTGAAAGAGCATCGTCACGAGCTTGAACAACTGAGTAGCTCGAGCTGATTGTCGGCCGTGGCAATGGCGGCGGCGCGACCGACACGGAGCGCGTGCGAGAGGGCGGGCGAGGAGTGAAACGCCGGCACGTCGTCGCCCGGAAGACGACACTGCCCAACGGTATATTATGACTCAGGCCGCTGTGACGACCACCACAGTAAAGTGATGGGGCTGTAGCTCAGTGGTAGAGCGTCTGCTTTGCATGCAGAAGGCCCAGGGTTCAAACCCCTGCTGCTCCATTTTAGCTTTTGCACCTGCTCAACCTGCTCAACGAGCCTCGTTTGCCATTGACGTCGGCGCAAGGAAGGCGCAGAGAGACCAAGGAGGTTGAGCTGTCACGTCACAGACCCACGTCGACCTCATTCACCGACCACACCCGCGCTGAGCGAAGGCGCACTCTACTCGCTCTACTCTGCCCTGTCGTGTGAAACGGTGAAGAAGCGCGGGACGACCCCGAGCACATGTGCGTGTGCCGAAGCGGGCGGGAAGAAGATGGAGGATGTATCGCTGCCCGCGGGCACGGTTTGACTAGCAGCGTGAGTGGCGCGGCCTCACGCAGCGCTCTTCCTTCGCCTCCTGGCTCCAACTTCGAGTGGATTGGCTGCCAGCGTGCTACCTGATCGAAGACCGCACTCATTTGCTGTTCTTGGGCGTTTTTATGTCTACTGCGTCGCGACAAGCGGAAGAACTGGCGCGTCGCGTCGTAGCAAACGCATCTGATCCGAGCATTGATCGTCGCCCCGTTTGCAACTGCCAGTCCTGATTCTCCCCCCGCCGTCAATCATCTGAACTTCTCACTTACCTGTAAGTCTTACAGGCAAACCGTGTGTATTCGATCGGTCGCTTGAGCGCGTGCGCTGGTTCACCGAGCCGTGAGAAGCGACACGTCGGGTCGCCTCGCAGCCGCTCCGTTCTGATCCTCGCTGTGATGCTAGCTCTCCTCCGCTCGAGCCCCGGCTCCTATTCCCCATCCTGCAACTAACTAAACAGCTTACTGAGTTTTGGATGATCTCAACTGAGGAGGGAGGTGAGGCGAGTCAAGAGATGAATAAGTGACTAGGGAGAATGCTATTGTGCGATTACATATGAGGGAGAGAAAACATTACAGGTTCAGGATCGAGCTGCGCGCGCGGGCGCGGAATGCCGAAGCCGAACACGCTGGGCAAAGGTGTTTAGCAGCAGCCGTTGTTGATGGGCAGGATCGTGACAACGTCGCTGCCGCAGTCGCCGTGGTTGTTGATGGGCATGATGTGGAAGTCGCCGCCGTTGCCGCAGTCGCCCGAGGGACCCCAGGTGGCCGGGTTGCCGCCGACGAAACCGTCGGCCGAGTGGTGGCCCTGGAACTGCGACTGCGACTGCGTCTGCGACTGCGACTGGAACGCGTCGCCGTGGCCGGTCGACCACTGGCCCTGCGACTGCGACTGGTGCTGCACGGCCGAGCCGTGGTCGCCGCCCCACTGGGTCTGCGACTGCGACTGCGACTGCTGCTGAGCGGCGCCGCCGTGGCCGGCACCCCACTGCGACTGCTGCTGCGCCTGCGACTGGTCGACCGAGCAGTGGTTGCCCCAGCTGCTCCAGTCGTTGCTGCCCTGGAACTGCGACTGCGACTGCGACTGCGACTGGGCGGCGTCACCATGCGACCACTGCGACTGCGACTGCGACTGCGACTGAGCGCCGTGGCCGCCGTTGCCCCACTGGGCCTGCGACTGCGACTGCTGCTGAGCGCTCGTGCTGCCGTGGCCGAACTGCATCTGCGACTGCGACTGGGCCTGGTCGACGGAGCAGTGGTTGCCCCAGTTGCCCTGGAACTGGCTCTGCGACTGCGACTGCGCGGCATCGCCACCGTGCGACCACTGCGACTGGCTCTGCGACTGCGACTGGGCGCCGTGGCCGCTGCCCCACTGGGTCTGCGACTGCGACTGCGACTGCTGCTGGACGGCGGGGACGTGGATCGGGGCGCAGAAGGTCATCTTGGTGTGTTGGTGGGTCGGTGCGACGGCTCGAGTGTGAGTGGTGGGTGATCTTCTCAACTCGAAGTGGGGCCGAGGGGGCTGTCCCTCTTTATACTCGGATCCGCTCGCGCTCGCGTTCTCGCGCTCTCACCGCTCACCAAGACGCGCGCATGCTATTCCCGAGAAATACGCAAGAGCAACGGAAAAACCGGCAGGCGCAGCGTTGAACGACGCGTCGCTATACGTGGCGACGGCATCGTCAAACCGCCGGCCGCTACGCCGCGACACGTTTCAAAGCGTCTTCGCTGCGTTGCCGTCGCGCTCTCACCGCTCCCCGCACTCCTCGCACTTCAGACGCATATCAACCGTTCGTGGGAGATCGCTCACGCGTTGGGGGTAGGCAGGCAGGTCGGATTGCAGCGGCCGGCGGTTCGTGCGTGTGTCGTAAATTCGGAGCGGGTGCGCTTTTGCCGCGGCTACGAAGTCCTCTTGTCGTGGGACGCTCGGTAGAGGCACATGAACGTGTGAATGGTTGAGTGCAAGTGGCCGCGAAAAGTGTCCCGCGCCAGTTGTCTCGCGGCCTGGGTCGCGTTGCGCCACACCCCACGTGATTGTTTGACGCGTCCTTTGGCGATCCACGGGCGCTCGGTTGCCACTGAGGGGAACCGAGCAGGGCCGTGTAACAGCGGATTTGTGCACTGTAATCACCTCGGTGCGCGTGTTGAGTCGGCAAGCCGGTTCACGCGCGATGCAGAGATATTCGAATGGCGTGCTCCCTCTGCGCCGCGAGAAGTTGCTCGGACGTTGGTCAGGTTCGCACTACAAAGCTCTTGCCTCTACGTTTTTATTCGGTGAAGCTGCCTCAAAGGCGGGTGTAAAGGCGATGACAGGGGAGTTCTGCCGGTCCTTTGTCAGCGCGTGCGCTCAAAGAGGGCCCCGATCGCGATCACACGGGGCAGCGGAAACCGTTTGCTCGCGCTCAGATTTCGATCGGCGGGACTTCGCCCTCGCAGAACCCCTGCCCTCAGCAGCGCGCTCCTCCTTTTCTCTCTCTCCACGCCCTCCATCACCACAACCGATTGCAATGAATACAGCAAGCGAGTATCTCGCCGTCGCATCCAGCGCGGTCGCGCCGCTCAAGGCGCAGGCGGCCGATCTGCTCGGCCCGCTCGTCAACATCCTCGGCCCGCGCAAGTCTGTGCTCCTGGTCGCGCTCTCGACGGTCGCCGTCCTCTGCGCGCGGTTCTGGTATCACAGCATCCGCGTGCCGCCGAGCCTGCGTCATGTGCCGCGGCTCACCGTGTGGCAGACGATCCGCGTCATGACGTCGGGCGCGGGCTTCCTCGACTCGGTCGACCAGCAGCTGCGCATCGTGCGCACCGACGCGCTCAAGCGCGGCGTCATCCAGCACGCGAGCGAGACGCCCAAGATCTGGCTGATCTGGTTGTATGTGTACTTGACGCGTTCTCTGTCTTTGACGCGGCCTCACGTTCGTTCGATCCATCCGTAGCCTCGGCAGCTGGGCCGTCGTGATTGCCAACCCGGCCGACATCAAGTCGCTGCTGCTCGGCCACGAGGTGTTTGACAAGTTCGAGATGACGCGCATGGGCCTGCAGGCGACCGCCGACTTCATGGGCACGAACCTCGCGCTCGCCAATGTACGCGCGCTGGTGCTGCTACTCTCCTCGTGCACTTCACTGACGATCTCTCTCATGGTAGACGGCCGGGTGGAAGCGCCAGCGCAAGGTTGTGAGCCCCATCTTCCGCCGCAGCTGGGCCACGTCGCTGTTCAGCGAGCCGACGCGCATCCTGCTCGGCAAGTTCGACGCGATCGCGGATGCCAAGGACGCGACCGTCGACGTGCCCGAGTGGATGATGCGCATCACGCTCGACGCGCTGTGCTCGTCTGCGTTCGGGACCAACATCGACTCGCTCAACCACCCCGACTCGCCCATTGTGCGCTCGTACATTGCCGCCATGGAGGGCATGTTCAACCCCAAGTTCACGATCCTCGCGCCCGTCGCGTGGGTCATGCCCGAGTACTGGGCCTACAAGCGCGCCGTTGACGAGTTCAACCGCTACGTGTACCAGATGATTGACGCCAAGGCCGACGAGATTGCCAAGCGCGCCGGCAGCATCAGCAGCAATGCGGGCGACGACAGCGACGAGAACAACGTCAAGGACCTGCTCGAGACCATGATCATCGCGGGCCAGTCGGGCGGCTTCTCGCGCGAGGACCTGCGCGCCAACACGGTCGCCTTCTTTGTCGCGGTACGCTCGTTCGTCGCTCTCGTTTCACGAGCTGCGAATACTGACGCTGCGCTCGCGAATGTGCACAGGGTCACGACACGACGGCCAACGCGCTCACGTTCGCGCTGTACCTGCTCGGGATGCACCCCGAGATCCAGCGCAAGGCGCGCGCTGAGGTGCTCGCCGTCATGGGCGACGTGGAACAGGGCACGCCCGCCGAGGACTTCCCGTACCCGACCAACGACGAGCAGCAACGGATGTCGTACGTGACCTACGTGATCAAGGAGACGATGCGGTTGTACCCGAGCGTGGGCAACCTCCCGCCACGCATCTTGACCAGCCCCGCGATCCTATCCGATGGGTCGCGCGTTCCCGCGGGCACCATCGTGAGTGGCAACACGATCGCGATCCACCGCGACTGCGCGCAGTGGGGCGACGACGCGGACGAGTTCAAGCCCGAGCGGTGGGCCGACCTCGGGGTGGGCGCTGACGGCGCGATCCCGATGCACCCGAGTGCGCACGACTTCAAGTGGGTCCCGTTCGGCGGCGGGCAGCGCATCTGCCCTGGCCAGTCGTTTTCGATCATCGAGCAGCGCGTGGTCCTGTCGATGCTGCTGCTGCGCTACGAGTGGACGGTCGCCGGGAACAAGGCCGCGCTCGCGGGCAGGCCCGGGTCGGTGCCTGGCGTGATGCTGCGCGCCAAGGGGATCGAGCTCGCGCTCAAGCGGCGCAACTGATTTGTGCGTTCGCTCGTAGTAACGGCGCAGATATATATACGCATAGTTCATCCCTTGTTTGGCATACACAGTGGCAGCACTCCTGGTTGGAGTAGCTCCGCCGTCACGGCGGGCTGCTCCTGACGCGTCGATCATCTCCACGTGGCGTCATTCTCCGCGTGGCGATCCGCCCGAGCTGACCAACGAGCTGAGCAACGCGCGCTCACGGCGCTCTCTCTATCAAGGCTGTCCAGCAAACTACCGCAATGACAAGCACCATCAATGTACTCGATGCAATGAGCAAGGCCATCGCGCCTCTTC